AGAAACACTATTACAATGAGCAAACGTGGTTTAGAAAATTACTTTTTTTTACTGACAAAAATTTAAACTTTCAACTTTTAAGCACAGCCAAACATGCTCTTAGTCATTCACATGATGGAAACTAGTCTATTAATCTTGAGTTAATATCTCTTGGCTTAATGGTTTGATTTCACGTGCCTAAAAGAAAAAGAGCATTGATCAATTCCGATTAATAGTGTTGAGTTCGGCCACAAGAAAGAATTGCGATTCTTTGATGTTTGTGGCATCTTCTAATGATCACGACTATTTTGCACATCGAGCAACCTTTCATCATGTCCCTAGTTGAGTTATCGTGCTCAGCCTTGTTATGATCGAGAAGCAACTTTCTAGTTCAGCAAAGCTTAATTGAATAGAGTTTGGTAGCTTATTGTTAGGAAATATTTTCTAGTGTGGACTTGTTTTCAATCGAAAGACGCAAACACATTTTTCGACATCTAAGTAAGCATTTTTTTTCATTTGCTAAGACGAGATGACATGCTCAGTTGATAACGGCGTAATGTGAATTTGGATTTCATATATGTTACGAAGAAGCAAAAACTGGCATGGAAGGTTATATACCTCATGTAATCTGACAACGTTTGGATGTTTGAGGAGTTTTAAGGATACAATCTCCCTCTTTATCTGCAGTCCTCATGAAATGTAAGTAACCAATATTGGGAAGGATAGAATGTTTGGAGCAAAAAACGTATAAAAGGACTACCTGATCGGTTATTTTGTGGCCGAGGATCCTGTCCTTCTCCAAGATCTTGATAGCAAAGGACTGGCCAGAATCCAAGTTTTTCGCATACTTTACCTTACCGAAATTGCCTTCTCCAAGAGTCCTCCCAAGCTCGTATTTTCCCAGTCGCGTTCCCTTCTTTTCTTGTGTCAATACCATCTCACACGACTTCCATGATCGAAGAAGATGGATATCCTGGTCCTGCTTTACGTTCCTCCTCGATGTAAGCCTATGCGAAGGGAGGAAGGGAGACTTATTATATATACAAGTTTATCCAATTTTATGAATACTGGAATTGTACGTTTTGTTAAGCTTTCAAAGCGTTGAAACGGTATTTGCCTCACAGAAGGAGTAGGAGTTTCTTATACACCTCCACCATTATAAAATAATATGAGTTGATTTTATAAATAGTCACTTGAGTTTTGATAAATCATCAAATTGGTCCTTAAAGTATTTTTCTTTTATAATAGACGTCACAACATTGGCTCTTAAACTATTTTCGATTCATTTAGTCTCTAAATTTAATTGACATTACATCACTGGTCACCCTGTTAGTGTAGCACGTGTCAATGGGGGCATAGAGGTCCTCCATGTCCTCAACATGCCGATGATTTTTGGGAGGTGGATGGGACGGTG